AGCCCTAGAAAAACTACTAACAGAAGGCATATGCACCAAAATAATAAAGGGAGTATATAACAAATCTACAGCCAACACTGAGCTAAATGAAAAAAGAGAGAAAGCAAGCCTTTAATCTAAATTCAGAAACATAGTACACTTTTTCCACTCTTCTCCAACACAGTGCTTCAAGTCTTATCTAGAGTGAGATGTGAAATAGAAAATAAAAACATCAGAAATAAGAGAAGTAGCCAAATTATCTCAATTTAAAAACAATATAATCTGTTCTTAAAAGACACTGAAGACTCCACCAGGGAAACTCCTAGATCTAAGGAACACCTTCAGCCAATTAGCAGAACATAAAACCAACATATAAAAACCACTAGTTTTCCTATATACCAGTAAGGAAACTGCCAAGAAAAAAATGAGGGAAAAATGAGCCATTTGTGATATCTTAAAAACAAAACAAAAACAAAAGCGGGGAAGTTAAAGTCCTCTGCAATAAAAACTATTTTATTTTATTGTGTGTGGGGGGGTGTATGCATGAGAGGCCAGAGGACACCCTCAGTGTCTTGTTTTGTCACTTCCATGGTATTCCACTGACAGAGTCTCTCGGAGCCTGGAGCTGGGCTGGTGGCCCCCCAGCCTAGGGGAGCTTACTATCATTAAGACTAGAAATGGCAACAGATGTAGGTGAGATTGTGAGAAAAGAGAAGCCCTTAATTACTGTAGATGGGAATGTAAGTTGGCATGGCCACTATGAAAACCAGTATAGAGGTTCCTCAAAAACCTAAAAGCGGAATTACCATATGCTCTGCCCCTGCTGCACTGGGGGATGTATACCCAAAGCAAGAGCATGGCCCAGAGACACCTGTGCATCCCTGCTCAGCATGCCTTATCCACACCAACCCCGATATGGAGCCAGCCCAGACGCTTATCTGCAGGCGAACGGAAGAAGGAATTGTACAGTATGGACACAGTGGGCTTTTACTCGGTCTTAAAGAGGAGTGAAAGTATATCATTCGTAGGATATAACGATGGAGCTGAGATATTCATGTTAAGCAAAATATAGGCCAAACTCAGAAAGAGAGATGTCATGTTTTCTCTCGTATGTAGAACACACACATCCATATTTATAAACACATTCATGCATATATACATGAAATGAAGGCAGGAGAGCTATGAGGTGAAAAAAAAGGATTTAAGGGGAAGAGTAGGGGTAACAAAGAAATGTAATAGAAGAGAAGAAAGATAAAATACTTTTCTTTAATGTGAAATCTAGATTTAAATATAAGTATGTGTGTGTGTATATATGTTCACACACATGTGGAATGAAAGCAGAAGGGAGACGATTTGAGGCGGGAGAAAGGGGACCCGTGAGAGGGGGAAGGATGATGTGGGGTGGCAGTGTGGGGCAGGTTTGAAGAAAGTAGACTGATACAAGTGTATGAAATTTTCATAATGGAAGGCATTATTTTATACCTCAACTAAAACACTAGTAAAAATAAATAGCAAATAAAGTCTGACACTACCCCCTACTTGAGATGGGGTTTTGCTGTGTATTACAGGCCTGCAGTCACTGTGTAGCCCTAGCTAGCCTGGAACTCTAGGCAATCCTCCTGCCTCAGCCTGAGTGTTGGAATTACAGGCTGAGATGCTGTCTTTTAGTCTCACTTTCTTTGTGAGCAATGCCTCCTGCTCCCTCAGAAGGGCTCCCGATCTTCACTGGGATACTCTGTTTCTGACTCTAGTGTTGACCTGATAGCTGACTGGTGCTTTTTAATCTGAGAATAAGGAGTTCTTTCCAGCCTTGCCTAGGGCTGGCCATGTTCCCTGCCTAGGGCTGCAAAACCTGGAGGGTTCCATGCTGAGACACTCCATCAGCACGGATGAGGACAGGGTGGCTCTCTGGGCCCCATGCTTCAGCGCTGGTTGGCAGTACAGGTGGGCTAACTGTCAGTGATGTTCTTTCTCCATTTCTCAATGACTGAAGTTCTAAAGATCTTCCTCAGAGCAGTGCTGACAAGAATGTAAGAGAAACAGCCAGATGTCCCCAGCCACAAGCTTTCTGTCCCAAAGAGCCAGGCAGTCCCATCAAAACTACAGCTTAAGAGTAATACAGGGCCGTCCTCTGGATGTCCTAAGCATTGTGAAATACATCCACAGTTCCCAGTGGCTGTATCTTCGGGCCTGCCCACCCCATCAATCTTGTACACCAGTCTTCTACACCAAAAAGCTGGCATTTTTTTCTTCCTTCATGTCCCCCATCCCATCTCTCCTTTCCTAGATCACTTGCTGGCTCACAAAGAGGCCTGTGCCATAGCAGAGCTGAGGGTAGGAAAAAAGGCTAAAACACCTAGGCAGATGATGCCTTCCTGGCTCTCCTTGGCTCTCCTCCCAGCTGCTTCCCTAGAGTGCCCTTGGGACGACTCGGATGCAAAGGACTTGGAAGATAACAGAAATCACCTGCACCTCTCTTTACCCTGCATGACCTTGCACCACGACCCATGGGGCTCCTGGCAGCTGCATGAAGAGCTGAGAGCAGGACTTCCAACTCCTCCTCCGGCTGGTGCTGGAGGAGCCACTAGGCTAGGCCCCGGGGGAAGCAGAGGACTAGGCTATGGTGTGTGCGTCCAGGGAAGCACCTGCCACATCTTCTGGTATTGGTGACTGTAGAGGTCATGCCATAGGAAAGATGCAGGCCAAACAACCACAGACAGGAGGGTGTGTCCCCACAGTCACATGGAAGGACTGCAGCTAAGGTTCAGATAGAACTTTAGAATCACCATCATCATCATCCTCAAACAGGTGTGGTAGCACATGCCTGTAATCCCAGAAAATTAGAAGATGATAAAAGGGAATCATATGTTTGAGGCCATGCTGAAAAACACAGTGAGAGTATACCCATTAAAATCTTTTTTCAAATCTGACCTCCTAATCTCCTGCACTCTCCCACAGCCTGGGACATACTGGGTGCTGACTTCAAGCAAAGCACTTTAGCTATCTCACACTGCCCAAGCCTTGGCAAGGTTGGCGATAGTTAGAGCAGAGAGTGTGCACCAACCGCTTTGAAAGAAAGGAGTGTGTACTTTGCCATTTCTTACATGGAAAAAAATGTCAGAGCAAAGATTATCTGTTATGATGGGAGACAACAAGACTGCCAAGTCTGGAAGAAGGGAGGTCTGAGCTAGGCTTTGCATGACTCTTCAGAAAAGCACACGTTAAGTCTAACATGGTAGCTCATGGGCCCAGGCAAGGCACCATCCCACCCTAAATCTTGCTTCTAAAATGTAACCCTCATGGGTAGGTAGCGTTTGGTGAAACGTCTTTAATTTCATTGCAGGCCGAATCGTGTATAAATTTAGTTCAAGTGGCAACTAAACCAGTAAAATGAAATATGTAGTAAGTTACTATGGTGACTGCTAATTTAAAATAATTAGAGAAAATAATGAGAAAACTATTTCCTCTCTCAAGGATTAGAGATGTGTAAGCGGATACCAGCCTCCTTCTAGTGAGCATAATCTCTATAATGAAGACAGAGAACCGAGAGTGCTTTAAAAGCGTCTCTCTGATGAGGAATTTAATCAACCCGGTACTTACACGAGAACATATATTTGTTGTTATTGAATCTCCCTCAATTCCATAGAAGGAAAATTACATGTGTATATCTTAATGTAATCATTTTAAGCAGAACATTATAAGTATTACAGCCAAATTAAGATTTAAGACCTGTTGATAATCATTTCTTGATTTCCCCAATTTCAAAACTCCACCCCACTAATTCATCATGCAGATATGGACCGCAGAAGGCTTGTTGTTAAGAGTCGTAGGAGCAGGGACCTGGCAGGAGAGTTACACACCCCAACTACAGCACAATATCCACAGAGGAGTGAATGCCCACCGTGTTCCTCGTGACTTCATTCTGGCCATGAAATGCTGCCAAATGGCCACAGGGTTGAGGCTCATGAGCTCTGCTGTGAACTGTAGTCACAGCGCACAGTGCGTTTCTGATAAACTGAGGTTGTGCTCTGAAGAGTCAAACAAGCTGGCAAGAAAGTTAAATGACAGACGGGTTCTTTTCTTTTTCCGGTTAATGTGCCATCAGATGAGCAAGTCACTCAGTGGGGTTGGCTTGACTTCCTATTAGGCAGGCATGGGCACTTGTTGGGGGGTCCTTAGGTAATTACCCAGAAGCCCCACTCATCTTCTGCGACTGCTAACTATTGGCTTCAAGAGGAATTACAGGGAGCTGGATTTTCCTGTCTCCTTCTGGCTTTTGAGCTCCCATATACACATACAGTAAATAAATATAATAAAAAAATGTGCTAGGTGTGGTGGCACACACCTTTAATGTTAGCCCCTGGAAGACAGAGGCAGGCAGATCTATGTGAGTCTAAGGCCATCAAGATCTAGCCAAGGCTAAAAAAACTATGAGTATATGGTGCATGAGTCACACTGCAGAATCTCAGGTTCACACGCCCACCCACTTTGGAGTTCCTGATTCAGTCTGCCTGGTGTGGGTTTTAGGAATCTAAATCCTTACCAAAGCTTCATGTGACTCTTATGATTGACTCAAGAAAGTACACACATGCAGAAGAGGAGCAGCAGAGGCTTTCTGGAAGGAGGCTGACTGTACCAATTTTATGCATTTTATGCCACACACTCTTTGCTGAGATACTCAAATATTCAACTGAGGTACAAAATAGTCACAAACAAAACATAAAACTAAATATAGCTGTGATCCAATGAGTACTACTGACAAATAATATTTCCTACCCCCTCTTACTTTTGGAATGTTCCACTGATTCATAAATCCACACAGCTGTGCAATGAGTTGGCAAACAAACTCAGTCTGTTTTCTTAAGTGGGGAGAGAGTTCCCCATGTTTGAACAATTACAAAGCATTACTAAACCCAATAACGGTTATGCAATTAAAGATGAATAAATAAAACGTACAAGAAACAAATTTTTATTTCTCAAAAATAAAAAGACAAATGACTGAATAAAATGAAAGAACTCACCAAAACACCAGTGTCTCTAGGAATGAAATTCCAACACTGGAAGCGCCAACCACAACAATTCTGGCGTTCACGGTGACTTTCGGCTCTAATGTCAGTTTTCTGTTTGTGTGGTTCAAGGCGTAACCCACCTGCAAGAAAACAGAGAGGGGAAAAGGAGAGGGAAATGTAGCTGAGTCAGAGCTCCAGATGAATGATTACAAGGAGTTACCAAACCAACCCTTAGCAGGAAGTCAACCTCAATCATGGCCAGGCAATGGTCACAGGAAAGTAGAGTCAAAGGTGTTTTCAGACATGAATGTGGTGCTGGAGGAATGGCTCAGTGGCAAACGACACTTGTTGCTTTTCCAGAGGACTGAGGTTCAGTTTCCAGCATCCACACCTGGCGACCCATTCCTCATCTAACTCCAGTCCCAGGGAGTCAGTCGCCTTCTGGCCCCCACGGGAACCTGCATGCATGTGGTACACACAAACTCCAACAGGCTCACACATTCACAGAAATTAAAAATACATATTTTTAAAAATTTAACAATAAAGTAACTTGCTTAGGCTCTGGCACAAAAAAGTGCTTTATTTGTCTTATTAATACATAGTTTATTAAGACCAACAGTCCTTAGTGACAGAGATGGCAATATAAATAATCCTACAAGACAGCTATTCCCTATCTTTCCTTATGTCCAAAATTTTGAGTGAAATTAAATTACATTACAAAGCCAAGAACATTCACTTATTCACTTGTGCAACTTTCACATCATTTAACACAGTCAGTACTTGGTAGTCAGCAGGTCCTTGATAGTACTTGTTGAAATGATAAATATTTGTTGAATGACAAAAATCTGTTAAATACTAAGGGCTCTTCAGTCTTTCAGGAGCCTCAGTATCAGGGAGGACTCTAAGAAACAAACTCAAAGAAATACCACCATAACTGTGGTCCCTTTAAAATCCACATCTCCAAAAAAAATGGTCCCATAGTTGCCTGGTTGATTTATTCTGAAGAGGCTGGACAAGAACAATCAAAGGCTTTATAGAGAGGGCATATAGGTAGAGGTGTAATTCTTGAAAGAAAATTATAGAACACAATGAAAATCATTGGTTCTATCTTTAACTCAAACACTCTTTTATTTGGCAATACTTGATACCATGTGTCTAATGTAGAGAGATGTTAATTCAGCGACATGGCTGCTCTGGCAAGAGGTCACATCCAAAGCCCTTCTAGGTTTATATGATCTAGCTGGAATGCAAACACACTCTGGCTTACAGTATGAGCTGGCTGGAATACAGATACACCCTTAGTACACACCTTTAATCCCAAACAATGACAGTAAGCTTAGTTTATAGAAGAAAGCAGGAATGTTTGAAAGTGATATCTAATTGAGAGATAGAGTGATGAACCAGAAAAAGATTTGACAGAATGAGTCAGAGATAGGGTACACCCAACTCTCATAAGAACAGGATGAGAAACAGAGGTAAGTTACTTAAGGGTAGTGCAGGGAGAGAGTGGCAGGTAGGGGAGAGGGAGTGAGAGTGGAGGAGAGAGAAGGAGGAGGAGACGGTATTTTTATTGAGAGTTTTTTACTGGGACAGTTTTACGGAGACAGGTTGCAGAGAGAACAAGCAAGGCACAGGTGAAGACAGAGCCACCCAAGAGAATGTGAAGGAGCCAGAAGATTAAAACATATTGCCAGAATTAGTTTGAGGCCAGGCAGAGCAATTCTGTCAGAAGTCAAGAGAAGCCAGTTTGAATCAGTCAGCTTGGCGAGGAGTGTAGGCCAGAACAGCTGAGTTGAACCAACCAGTGAGAGTTCAGAAAGAGCTAGAAAGGCTTGGGAACAGCTCTCGTCTCATCCCCTCATCTGAGTAAATAAAAACAATGTTTACAGTCTAGAGAATTATAGTTATAACTGACAGTTCTCCTAAGAATCAATGGAGGCCAGAGTCAGTGGAATAACTGTATCAATATTAAATGAGCAATAAAACATTCTTGGGTCAGAAGCTCTCATCCTAGCAAGTGAAATTCACTTTTCATTTTCTCAAAATCCTGAGCTCCTAGGAGTTGGGAGTCCAGTAGGCTGAAGGAGATCACTTTAAATTGTTATCCTGTTCACCCTTCAATGCCATGGGAAACATGACCTTAGGCTTTGCCATTCACAAGCTAACATCCAACATGGGGATAAGACCCCTACCCTCACCTTGTACAGTTCTAGTTAGTCTAACACTATGGAGGCTGAAAAAATATATATTCAAAGGGATTTTAAACAAAGTTAGAAGCATCTCAGTTCTCCATAGCTAATATTGCTAGTGCCTCTCGGCATTTTTCATTCCCCACCCCAACCTTTAAATTGACAACATGGATTTTGGAAGAGACTGGGCCTACATCCATCTTAAGAAAGGGTCTAATGGACAAATCACATAATCTTAATCCCTGCTCTACAACTGGTCCAGCATAAACATGTGACTTGAGTTGGCTGAGTCAAAGTGAAGCCCAGACCTGTTGTATGATTTAGAGATCAGAAGCCTTCCTGCTTTCTACATCACCCAAGATAGAACTGGGAAGCTTGACAGGGGCAGGTCATCATTAAGAACAGGATCCTTGGTTGGAACTCCAGGAGAATCACGGAGAAGTAGAACAGTAATTATTTTCAACTGCTTTCTGAAGCCCATGTTACATTTGGATTCCTTCATGGGATAAGCAATGAGTATCAGCCACACATGACTATCATCAGTCTTCGTAACAAACCGTTCCAAAGTACACTAGCTTAAAACTGTCACTTATTCTCACTCACAAAACTCTGGGTTAGTGCTGGGTGGTGGTGGCCTTTAATCCTAGCACTTGGGAGGCGAGGCAGGGGTATCTTTGTGAGTCAGAGACCAAGCCTGGTCTATAGAGCCAGTTCTAGGATAGCCAGAGCTACACAGAGAAACTCTGTCTCAGAACAAAAGCAAAAAAACCTCTGGGTTAGCAAGAAGTGTGCTGATCTAGGTCGGATTCAGCTGTAGCTATCTCCATCATGCAGATTCCTGATCAGCCTTATCTGTCTGCATATAGATATAAAATCTATCATATGTATCATATATCAATATATTATATACGTAATACATAAATGATAGCTGATAGATATCCTTTCACTGATAAGTTTCATAATCCCAACTCCTCCTTATCAATGATTAGCCTACCACATTAAACAAGCAGTCTAGGCTGGCCTAATCAGAGTGAAGCCCAGAGTTGTGTGACTTCACAAGATGCAGCTGTGAGTCCAAAATGGCTACTTATTCGCTGCCCACTCCCCAACTTCTGATGAGAGGCAATTAAGGCTTATTCCTATAGCAGCAATGGTAGAAGTGTTGGGAGGGCAGGCGAAATCAATGATGCTTCCTGTTTCTAGCCCAAACAAATCATATTCTGGAGCCCAGCACTCAGCTGGGTGATGTTACTCACCTCTAATGGAGGAGCATTAAATCGTAAAGCAAAGGGCACAGCCTGGGAAGAATGAAAGGTGGAAGTGACAGAGCTCCCTGTTTTTCCATCATTTAGGCCATTTTGTTTCTCGCATTTCAGGTTGACATATTTTAGGTTGACATATTTTCTATCAGAAAATGCAATTCTTCAAACAAACATCAGTTATGCAAGACACCAAGTTTATGCTGGTGTGTATGGTGTTCCAGGATTCCATACACACTGGCCTACTGTATATTCAGCTTAATTTCCATGACAAGCAGGCTAAAGGCTCACTTCATCTTGGGTTTGGTGGTTCAGAGGACGGGAAAGTAGGAGATGTGGAGGTTGTTATGATGGCATTTCATGGCAGGTCTAATTAACAGATTTAAAATGCAAGCATCTCAATAGGGTCAAAAGCCAAGCTTCCTTCCATTAGCAGGTAGGCTCTGATATTCTCCTCCACCGTGGGAAGTGTAAACTAGCACTGAGCTACAGGCAGTAATGAAATTCCCTCGTAAAGAATGAGACATCATTCATGAACCGGCTCCAGTATCACAGGCACAAAGGCCGCAGGGATGAGCAGAATGGCTTTTGTTTCCTCGAACAACAGCATTGACACCAACAGCTGCCAAGCCTCAGAAATCACCTTTCTAACTGCTAAATATGCAGAGTGGCTTTGGGGTGCCAAAAGTTAGTGATCAGTACCAGGTAGGGGTGGTGTGTTAGGGGAGGCAGCATGTATCACAACGGTGCTCCTGTAGGTCCAATTTTACCATTGTCAGATAAGATGAACGCTCCTGAAATAAGTGGGGGTGAGGGTGGAAGAGGCTCTTTTAAAAATTAGTAGATGGAGTTATAAATGTCTCAACGTTTTTCCTACCCAGCAAACAAGCCTCCCTCAGCAACAGTGACAAATGGGCAAACGCTGCTGCTTCTGCGTTTGAAAGGCTTGTTTTCCCTAGAAGCTAGAAGCAGGGTGCTGATCAAAAGCTCTTATTTTTATTTATTTATTTGTTTGTTTGTTTATTTATTTATTTAATGTCTCTCCGTACTGTTACGTTTGCATGGGAAAGAAAATAGGCGTGGTCTGGTGAGGTGTGCACATCTGTTAGCCAGAACACAGGAGGCTAAGGCAGAAGGGCCATTCGGGGCCACCGGGCAAGACCCTTTCTCAAGAGAACCAAGCAAAACATACAGGGAAGCCCCTCTAAGCCATGCTAGCTCATGTTTCTTTCACCTTGAGCATCTAACCCTGCCAAAAAAAAAAAAAGAAAGAAAATCCTCATGAGTGGGAAAGCCTATATGGGACCTGATTGCCTTAACCATATACGTCAAGTGAGAGCCTTATCTATAGACACTGGCTTTACTTATTTTATTTTTTAATACAGTCTCATGTAGCCCAGACTGGCTTCAAATTCACTATATAGAAAGACAAGGATGATCTTGAACTTCTGGTTTTCCTGCCTTCACGTCCCAAGTGTTGGGGTTACAGGTGTGTGCTGGCACAGCAGGCTATGTGCATGCGAGGCAAGCACCCCACCTACTCAGCTGCATCCCAACCCTTTGTCTTATATTTCAAACACAGAATTACACATACCTTATTATATACATACATACATATATATGTATGTTTTTGAGACAGGGTTGCTCTGTGTAGCCTTGGCTGTCCTGAACTCACTCTGTTAACCAGGCCAA